GTGAGCCGTCAGCTCTGAGAGGCAGGATGAAGGGTCTTGCTCAATCTCTTGGAATCCTTAGGCAAGATATGGTTGACGGGGTGCAGGTTACCTATTGCGAATTCCCCTGATTCACCGAACTTTGAAAGTTCATTACTTTCTTTACATTTCCGACATTAGAAATTTCACTTTTATCTTTCTCTATCAGTAATTTAACTCACCTGAAAGTTGAAATTCAATAGTCTTGGTACTGTACTTAGTTATTTCAAAAAAACACACTCTTAGAGGAGAACAATACTGAGTGTTTCGGGCTGACAAACTTCTCCGGGCTTCAATGATTTGTGGATTAAGAAATAATTTGATTCTTGTAGAATCTGTGTTCAAAATAGGTTTATCACTTCTGAGGAACCTTATCTTTACAGCAGTAAGTAACCTGTAAAATCTCTGATAAGTAAGTACCAATTATCATGATGAAACTTTCCACATCATGAAGTCGATCAGTTAACTTGAAACATAAGTACATCAAAGGAGCTGTCTAGCCCTAAAAAGACACGGAAAAAGCTGTGAGATGGCATAGTAGAGTACATTGTGATAAGCGCATCATTAAAAACGGCGTTTGAGTTTAGCAGAGATTCACTCTTGGCCCGGAAGGCTAGACTTACAGAAAATCCTGCCGCAGATCATCAGTAAGCGGGAGCGTGACACCGATGCGTGTATGCTCTCAGCTCTGGTGGAGAAAGAGAGAACTTCAATTGCACTTATGTATTAGCAATTACGTCGCAGTCTTACAACTACAGCTGCAGCCTGGTGGCAAAACGCTCGCCTCCGAGGTGGAAGGTCAGTGGATCGTGCCCCCGCTCGCAAATATTTTGACGTCATTATATTACACATTATGTCATAAATGCCGCGAGTGGCCGTAAAGAAATACTTTTTCCCATAAAATAAGAGTGAGGCGTGCATTTTTGCGCACGTAATTGAAAAGGGCTCCTCTTGCAGAGAAACCTCTGGACCTAGGGTGTAGGGCCCTAATCTTACGTAGACCGTCCAATAATTTTTTTTAGAGGAAAAAGCAGACTCCGAAGACAGAAATAAATGTAACATTAGTGGGCAGTATAAACAAATAAATGTAAGTATGCCTTTACAAAGGGACCGTCCGCAAATTACGTACCTAATGCACTTACAGGGAGCCGGGAGGAGGTCCAGAGGTGCCTTACCTATGCCTATACGTAAGCCAAACGCAAAAATTTTGTTTCTTCCAAATTCCGTTAATTTAAAGACTTACTAGTCCAAATTTCGTTTTTTAGACGTTTAATGTTTTTTGGTTAAAATGTAATTTTTTTGAACTTTTTGAATTTAAAAACTGTTATTTTTTCAATAGGTACAACTGTTATTTTTCATGATCTCCTACCAGCGATTAGTAATGTTTAAAACAATACCGATTTGTTTCAACACCATTTTTTTATTAAATTATGCATTTAAACGATAGAAGGGGGGGGGGGTCATTAAAATCGGAAAAATTGCCTTTCGTAATTTATGGACGGCCCCAAAGAGTAATTTTGAAATTTCCTATTAGTATTTTTTGTATTCCTTACGCCTACGGTCGTTTTACTTCGAATTCCGTACCCTATAAATAAAATAAGAGCAATTGTGCAGATTTTTCTTTTACATAAAGGGACGTTTCACTTTAAAAGATTCCGTCTTGGTCCGCAGGAGTTTTTGTCAGCCCTTCCTTCAGAGCTCAGGGGCTGAATCTCTGCCTGAGGCGAGGGCGAGGACTGACAGAAAATCCTTCTCCGGGTGCGGAGTGCCTAGATCTGCAGAAAGGGAACATCGATGCTCCCGACTGCGCACCAGACAGTTTGCGATGGAAATTCGGCAGGATTTTTTGTAAGTCCTGCCTTCGGAATTCAGGAGTGAATCTCTGCTGAACACTCGACTCATTAAAAACTGCAAGAATGTAACAGCTGCAGTTTCCAGTTTGAGGTTAGAGCCATGCAAGATGCATGAAAACAATATCTCTGTCCAATAGATTCAGTATTCAGCATAACAACAGATTCAGATCAGCCAAAAACGATAGTAATAAAAACTAAGGTATTGTGAACTCAAAAATAGAAAAATAACTACTATAAGGCAAATAGGTACCAGATGTTTTTGATCAGATGCGTGACCAGTGACTAAGTAGTTCCAAAAGATAACATCGATCAAGTTGAAAATGATGAAAAGAAAATTACGAGACAACAAGTTCATTACTTGAGTTGGAATTAAAAATACTCAACACAGAAATAAAAATTAAATCTGGCCATTGTAATCACTGATAAGTAACTGAACAGTAAAGAACTAATGGTAAAGCAATTGGTAGGGTATTTGCTTGATTCACTCTTATCACAAATCATAAAAAGATAAGGGTTCCTTGTAGATGGAAGACGAGGGGCTATTTAAGTACCGAACAGCGAGTTTGGGGTCAGGGAATAGTTCTAGTGAGAATCAGTAATTATGTTTTGAAGCTGATGCAAAAAATAAGAAACAAATGGGTGAAATGGGTAAAAAATCGTTAAAAAAACTATCCATACCTTCCTGTGCACTGGTCAGGTGGATTGGGTAGGTACAACAAATTTTGACTAAAAGCGTCAAGACATCTTGAAAATGCGCTTGATTCTCGAGTCTTGGCTGAAACTCAAAGACAGAACTGTGGTTAGAATTAACAAACTCGAAAAAATTTCAGACTTTTTCGATCCGTAACGAGTAAGACGACCGTCGCCTAACGTCTCGTGCCGTCGTGCGATAGTGTGAGGCGATCGCGATCGTGAACCCGTGAACGAAAAGAGTGAGACAAGAAACCCGTGAACTATCTGATAAAACAAACAAGAACGAGAGAGAAATAAGATGATAAAAGAAGTGAATTCTATGGAGATGATGATTGCACGTATGACCCGGGACAAAGCAATAAAAGCGGAGGCAATATTGTTTACAAACCATTTTCTTACGTCATCTGTTGCCCAGCAGTGTTTGTGATGTCACCAAATATTCACAACAAACGAACACCTCAGAAATAAGGTTAGAATAAAAGGTGTACTCGGGTGTACTCAAACTGTAGTAGTGTAACTCTCAAGTGTAACTGTACTGGTATTCTATGTTTAGATTTAATTCCGCATGTGTTTTGTTCATGTTTTGTGTTATTTGGTAATGTACGGTGCTCTATGATTCTTTAGTTCAATGCATCGTGTTTCCAGGAATTAGATGATAATTTTGTTCATTTTTGAAGCTCACCCAGTTTTGTGCATTCTTCATTGTTTTTCTGTGCTGGCTAGCTGTTCTGCAGTTGCGATTGAATATGGAAGATCTACCACTTTTGTATCTCGACCTCAAACTAAAAACCAAACGGAAATTGAGGAAATACCAACATTTGCTTGCCAAAGAAACCGATGCTGTTGTCACCATTGAGTCGGAGGTTAGTGTCATTGGAAATTCTGCGTCATATGTATAGATGTGTCCCGGTGATTATGGGAGTAAAGGGAACAACTGTGCACGATATCATGACCAAGCAGTTGGTATGGTATGGGCATGTGCAGAAGATGGCTGATACCAGGATGCCAAAGAAGGTTTAGGAGTGGGTCCCTCTAGGTAGGTGTCGGAGAGGGCGCCTCAGTCCAACCAAACAGGGGGTAGGGGGCATCCGTCAAGAGAAGAGAGATGCTAGCTTCTGGAATATCTCTACCGTGACCAGGGGTGTTGCTAGGAAATTTCTCTGGGGGTGGGGGGGCATGGGACCACCTCTCGTGGTGAAGAGAGCGAGGGGGGATGAGGAATGAAGGATCCCGTTTTTCTAGCTACGCCCATGACCGTGACAGATTCCTATGGCAGATAGGTGTCGCAGAGCGCCCTAGTGCACCATAACAGCTACTTAAACATACTTATGTATTGATGTGTGATCTTCCCAGACATTATTAATTTTTTTTTCTGCTACCAAGGTAAGTAAAAAAAAGTTAAGCGCAATTCATATGGTCAACATTTCATCCAATCAAAGTAAAGTACCCTGATAGAGAGAGTATCACCATGTGGCTACAGTTTTCGATCGGCTCCTGCTCCTCCACCCTGAGCTTCATGGAGCTCTTCGGACCCAAAAATTGTGGACGCTCTACGTAAATGTAAATACAAAATGACTTTATGTTGTTTTATTTGTGTTAGGTACTGGCAAACCTAGGTATCCCAAAAAGGGTGACCAGACAACCCCCCACCTTCTTTACTGCTACCTAACATGACTACTGCTTAACTTGTTTTCACGGCTATAGTGAATGTGATTGAGGAAACCGAATTTTTACAGATCGAAGTAGATTTAATTTGAGGAACAACGTTCACCAGTGAGAAGGGCTACAAGTAAAAGGAAGCATAGCAAATAAAATTAATAAACTGTCAGAAATTTCATAATAATAATGAGATGGAGACTACTTGTTGCAGCTGGCACCAGAGTGGGATTTTGATGTGCAAATGAGTCCATTCTTTTTTCATTTACACTGGTTTGTATGGCATCCAATCCCACATTTGCAGCGCTCTGGAGTTGGATACAAAAGAATTCTATTCAGTTACTGTTGCTGTATGAAAGAAAAAGTGTTATTTTCATCAACAATAGCGGTTCCTCTAAAAATAAATTGAACTGCACAGCCAAGTCAAAGTATTTCTAGGTGTCACTCATAGGTCTCTAAGCTAATGGACCAGGCTACCATTGCTTTTGTTTTATATTTTATTTAAAAAGCTTTATCTTCCTTCTTACCAGAATCTGATGATTTGCAACGCTGGACTTGTCAGCGGTAATCAACGAGAAGAGCTAGTTCAGTTTTTTTCATCATTTGGCGCCATTGAAGAGGTTTCCATGTCACCAGGCAAATCTTATTCCTTCATAAAATTCAAACGTGCACATGATGCAATCAAGGCCTTCAAAGAGGTGAATGGACAAAAGGGTTTACCAAGCATGAACTCCTGTTTGTACCTCCTTTTTGTTAATAAGGGTAAGATTTATGTTTTGTTGTTAAAAAAATAAAATTGTCTATCATATACAAAGGAGCCAGGGCCTACCATTCTCTGAAGGGAAACACCTTTCAACAGTAACTAGGGGTGCAGAAAGTGCTTGACGGGCCCGTCACAGGCTTGTTGTGAGAGAAATGCAAAGACACTTGAAAGAAGGAAAAAAATATGAAAGCAGCATTACTTTTTATATGAAGAAAACTATATAATGCGCTCCTTTACGTGAATAAATAGTGAAACGCACAGTCTCTTTATGACTTATTTTAATAGTCTGGATGACTAACTCCAACTAAGTAATCACCTGTTTTCAAATACACTGGGCAAAACTATGAGAGCACTCTGGTGATTCTAATTTTTGGTTTTTTTTTCTGGCTTTAATTTTTCTTTAAAATAGTGTAGCTACACCCAGGTATTCAACCACCCTGTTCCATACTAAGCTGAATATGAAAGTGCCAGAAAAAATATTTGATGATTCACTCTCATTCTATTCTAAAATCATGTGGGGGGGAATTATGTTCTTCAGAATGAAATATTTCACTCTTATGAAATCGAGTGGTTTTTCATTAAATGGAGGGAGGGCAGAGGACTGAAATGTTATTATAACCAGGTTAGCTTTTGAGGAAGAAGCAGTAAAGTGCCAGTAAGTAAAAAGTTTAAGGAACAAGATAGAAAATGCTGAGCTTTTTTTTTTTTTTTTTTTTTTGATTTAGACTTGTCTGCGGAATGCGTTCCCTCAAAATTTTCAATACAATTCAATAGTTTAAGAACCTGCGTTTTAATAACTGATTAAGTATTTTCTTTACGTTTTCAGTTCCACCCTTGTCAGTTTATGAGGATGTGCTGCCACCCGGTTTACTTTTACTAGAAAATTTCATCAACGAACATGAAGAAGAGATGCTTCTAAATTGTGTCATTTGGTCATCTGTTGACTCAGATCAAGGTACGTCTGCAAGAGGTCTAATCGCCTTGTTCCAGCTTTTAGTGTATTTTTCGAAGGAAAGATACACTATTGCGTTCTCCCTCATGGTGGGACCTAGACCTGGGACCATGTAAAGAGCACCAATCTCGAGTCGTAGATCACGAATATATATGTCATTCATTTTCTGTCGGATTTTTCAGTTTTCAGAGCATTGAGCGGCAGTTAATTTTTTGAGAAGTTTATTTTAACTTGCATGGTTCTTTTTCTTGAGATGAGTAGTTGCTCAGGTAGTTGCTTGGACGAAGTACATTTTGCAATGAGGAACTGCTATTTCAGGTTCATCCATAGAATCACTTATCTTTAAACTAATTTCACCTATTTTTTCTCTAAAATGAGCCAGAAATATGCCAACTTCTTACTCTTTTGTGCTAATGATGTAATGGTTTATTTTTCCAAAATAACTCCTACCAGACAATGGGCCTGTTGCAAACTTTTGCTAGAGCAAAGATAAAAGTCATTCCTTATAGATAGTGTCTCAAATCTAGTGATCTCATTGGCAAACTCTGAAATGCACTCCTAACTTAGCAATCTGCGTTCTTTTAAGCTTCCTGCTTCAAAAAGGATACTACGGTACAGGTGAACATTTCGTTACAGGAGTCATTCCATTCAATCTCTGCCTAACATGACCGATGCTTCCGCGCGCAAGTTGAAGAGAGTGCGATGTCAATCAAGACAGATATATATCAAAGTGAGAAAAATGTGAATGTAAACATGCCAATCGTTATCATGTGGTTAGAATTATCGTCCCATCACATGTGTTTTTTTGGATTGGCATCAGCTATGTTTACGTAGTATCCTTGTGAGCAGGGGTTGGATGGAATGACTCCTCTAGCAAAATGTTCACCCGTGCTGTGGTATTGTGTTTTTGAGGCGGGAAGCTCGAAAAAACGCAAATTTCTTATGCAAATTGTGAAGTAAGGAGTGCATTTCAGACTGTGCCGATGTGCTCATCGTGATTTTTGAGACACTCTCTTAGAGCAACAACTCTTATTTTTGCTCTAGCAAAAGTTTGCAACATGCCCATTAACAATATAAGTTATTACTCAGGAACCTTGGCTGAAATGAAATTAATGGCAGCTTTTTCTTTCAGAGAAATGTTTGAAGCATAGACAAGTGAAGCATTTTGGCTACGAATTTAGATACAGTGACAACAATGTCAATAAAGATGCGCCTCTGATGGAAAGTATCCCGCAAGAGTGTGGATTTTTGTTTGAGCGTTTAAGCAAAAGTCGTCCTGAACTGTCCTTATGGATGCCTGACCAGCTGACAGTGAATAAATATGAGCCAGGGCAAGGTATGAATATTTTTCTTTTCCAACATAGTGGTCCAAAGAGACAAATATTCGAAAGTTCTACAGTAAAAACTTCAGAAATGCAGTAGTGTTTCGATGGGTTATAGCATAGAAAGTATCATTAAAAAGCATAGGTATCATTTAAAACGTTTTTGCATCAAAATTATATGCAAAATATATTTAATGTCCCAAAAGTGTTCAAAATTTACTTGTAACAACCAATAAGAAATCTTCGTTCAAATTTTATGATAGTTGATGACAGAACTTTTTGAAATCAAAATACCAAAAATCCCATAAATGTTAAAAGAATGATCATACCCAGATGGGAAAGAATTACTTTATTAGTAGCAGATTGCTATTTCAGGCTTTAGTGCATATTTACCTGTAGCTGAGGACTAAAGTGTTACATCACACAATTTTAGTAAAGTATTGTTTATTTTTCTTTTTATTTGATTTATCAAAATAAAATGTCATTGCCAATTGCCCTTGGTTGGTTGGTGGCCTCTGTAACCTCCCAATTCTTCCCTTTTTTTGGGAGCTCAATCAGGAGGTTGTTGCTACTGCCCTTGTCCTTGTTGAAATTGATGAGGTACTCGATTTTTAAGCTGATGGTTTTCCCCTGTTCCGTTATTCTGTGCCCTGTTGATTTCTTTCTGGAAAGAGGAGTCAGGTTAATCCATAGTTTTTGTTCTGTACAAGTGCTGCTTAAGCTGAACTTTTTATTCCCTTATTATTCTGTGTGTAATGTCCTACTCATTATGTTCTTTCTCTGAATACTTTTTGCAATGGCTTTTGAATGATGAAAGATGAAGCTTCAATTTTTGTTCATCCGTAAGCAGACTCAAAAATACTCCTGACATACATGTGTCAATTTTTCTAAGAGCAAAGGGGTGGATAGGACTAATCAATTTTCCGCAAGCTCTGTTTGAAATTGAATTCAAGTGAGTTTGGAAATCTGGAATTGTGTGCAGTCGCTCAAAATTACTCTACTCGTATTACTGGCCACTCGTACTTTGAGTTCCTAACGAGCAAAGTTGATGCGGCAGAACCTCGAAAAAAGGCGGCATGAGTCTTATCACTTTTAGGTTTTCCTAGTATTTCTCTCCATTACAATAGTATTGTTTCAATCTGATAACTTCTTCAAATTTACTCTAGGGATCCCTCCACACATAGATACTCATAGTGCGTTCAACGATCCGATCTTGTCTCTTTCGTTAAATGCTTCTATTGTCATGGAATGGAGGAATTCTGAAAGGCAACACTTTAGTGTACTTTTACCCAGGAGATCTCTATTGATCATGTCCTCTGAGTCAAGGTAAATCATTTTAAACATTCATCTAAATAAAATTTAATAACTCATTGCAGCTATCTGCCTAAGTTACTAATGATCCTAAGATAGATATGGAATGAATCTTAAAAATTCTGTTTCCCTGGCAAAGTTGAAATAGGTAATCATCATTATTATGAAAAGGAAAAGAGGTATAATCATAAGAATAAAATTTTGAATTAATATAGGGGGGTTTCCTTCTGAGATCTTCAATTTTTTTCCTCCTCTTGGTTACTGAAACCTGTGGAAAATTAAACTTTTCTGTTTTTCTGATGAGCGGAGGCTATGTTCATCATTAAAACCAATAATCTCATTAGTAGTCACAGTTTTAACTATGCTCATGAAGCATTTTCCTTTAATGTAAGACTTCTAAATGAGTTTTCTGGAGATGCAAGAGCTCAGAATATTCTTTGCCTTCACATTGCTGTCCACATAAGACTTTTTTCCCTTCAAATTTGTTGAGGCAGTCTTCAAAAATTCTTCCACATAAAACCACGCCTTTCACTACATATTTTCTTTGCACAAAAAGGAGCTTGTCACACTGTTACATTGGCAAAAATCATGTCCTTAATTGTTTTCCAAAAAAAATAGCCCAGCCATACAAGAAATAATATGAACATGTAGAAAAATCCCAAAAATTCTTTTTTGTCTTATCTTATTCTCCTTTTTGAGTTCCTTCACATTTCTTGCAAACCTGGTTGTTCGAGTTCTTTTTGGACTCACATGGCGGAGAAAGGGTTTATGGATCCAGCCAGGAGCTGGGAAAGTGTAGAAGGATATTCCAGCGCCTTTACCCACCTCAAGTAATAGACTTATGAAACTTAGTCATGAGCCCTCTTATTTGAAAGAAGATGATATATCTAATAGGGACTAATTAATATTCAAAGGAACACTGGTCTCAATTTTTTGTTTGTTTGTGAGTCAGATATATGGCCCTGTTTTAATTATCATTGATTTTCTTAAGAAAAGTGTTGTTTCTACTTTTGTAGGTATGCATGGACTCATGGAATCACTCCCCGTAAAACTGATATCCTCAAAAATCATGAAGGAAATTTGACAGTGTGCGCCAGGGAAGTGAGGGTGTCTTTTACTTTTCGACAGTTGCGCCGTGAGGGGCCCTGTATGTGCCAATGGCCAAAGTTTTGTGATTCTCAAACGCCTAAGACTGAAACCCAGGTTGACAGGCTGACTGAAGATTGTGCATCAAAGCTGGAAAAAATTTATGTCCATCAGGTATAGAGAAAAGAGCACATGTTTTTTACCCACTTAAGAGGAACATTTACCTTTTATGGAAAGTGTATTTTTGTAGAAAGACATCCCAGATGTCACCCTACTTCTCATTCTGAACAGAAGTCTTGCTGGGATTCACTGTGTTGTTTTCAAGATATTTGTCTCTGATCGTTTGTAACAGCCCGTTCATGCATTGCTTATGTTTAGTGTGGACCGAAAGTAAACGCCTTGAAGTTTGTTTTCTTATCATCCCTAATCATGACATAGAGTATTTCGTTCACTTTGCTCCCTAACATAACCTTTAACATTAGTTTTGACCTATTTGTTCTGCATTTTCTTCTTCTGTCCATTCATCTACAATTCACTCCTGATGACTTGCTGATGTTAGCATCACTAAAATGATCAATCTAATTTCCCTCGTGGCATAATTCTGATTAGTCAAACTGGATTTTATTCCCTCGAAGATTTCTCTACTGCCAAACTTTCATGCACTTCATGAAACTCATACATTCCTAAGAGAACTGGCATGCATCGTAACTCTTCCCTCTTCAGGGTTCTAACTGCCAAGGAAATAAAAATAGAAGAAGTATTCTTTATTTTCGTTTGATTCTTTGCTGCAGTTCCCCTTGAAAGGTCTGCATTTTCATATCTTGGAATTATCACAATGGGCTCCGTCCTCTTTGCCATTCAAATATCAAGTCGATAATTAGTATCTCAGATTGCAAAGTTGTAAGTCTCTGCTTGGCGCTTATACTCTATTTTTTCAAGTAATAGAAACCAACGATTTCTACTAAAATTTGTCGTGAATTTTCTTGACTCATTCTAAAAAAATTACAAAATGATTCTAAATTGCAAAGATTTTTGACCAGTTTTCCGTGAAGAAAGTAAAATGTAGTCAGAGACATTTAAACGTTTGCAATTGAGATAAACATTTTTTGCAATCAGCCATTGATATTTTTAATTTGTGTGCAAAAATTACCTAGAGCGATACTGCAGGATTAAAAAAGGTTAGTTTAATGATTTCCTCATAATGAGCTCTCTTTCCATCAAAGCAAAAATTAAAAAGCACAGATACTCAAAAAACAGACTCATGTGAAAAATTTAGAAGTGTAGGTAAGTATGACTATTCGTGCAGAAATTTCATTATTAGGATAGGTAATTTTACTTAGTTTTATATTATTATTATTGCTGTTGCAGGTTTACAATGAAATTGCTTCGCACTTCAGTGATACCAGACATAAGCCTTGGCCGAATGTCTTAAGTTTTGTAATGTCTCTCAAACCAGGTGATATTCTTTTGGATGTTGGTTGCGGCAATGGAAAATATTTTGGACACAATAAATATATTGTTGAGGTTAGACATAGACATAGACATCACTTAATTTCTTTCATCTATAAGCTCTAGCCTCCATAGCCATTATTGTGATACTGGTCATCAGTTTACTTTAAACACAGCTACCCTAGTCGGCAAATGTGTTTTGAGATTAGTAACAAGTTTCTCTGCGACTTGAACAGCTAGTAATTTAAAAAATTAGCTTGAGAGTATTATCAAAAATCCTGCGCAATTTTCCCTTATTCAAAAGTTATCCAAGATAAGAAAAATTCAATTTTATCTACAGATTGATGATACTCTTAGTTGCAATTAAAGCCCTCTTGAAAATTTGGGCTTAAATTGAACTTCTCCAATCTTAAATAAAATCCAAATCAGAGTGAAATGCGCAGAACCTTGGATGACCCTTGTAGAAAGTAATATCAATAAAATTGTACAACAGATAATGGTTTTGTATGTGCCTTTTTATCAAATTGAAAATTCGCCAATGCATTCATGAACATCTAAACAAGGGTCCGAGAAAACAATGAAAACAATCATTTTACAGAGTAACAATGTAAACTCAGGCATTACAATATAATAATGTTGTTGACTTAACCCCCCTTCCTAAATAAAATATTTTTAGTTTTAAATGAGTGTCTGGTTTTAGATTGGCTGTGATCGTAGCTCTAATTTGATGGAAGTATGCACAACGAGAGGTTTCCAAGTCTTCCAGTGTGACTGTTTGGTTCTACCTCTGTGCAGCTGCACAGTGAATGCGTGTATTAGTATTGCTGTTATTCATCATTTGTCAACACAAGAACGGAGAAAAGCAGCCATCAATGAGATTATTCGTGTCCTGAAGCCTGGCGGAAAGGCATTGATCTACGTTTGGGCAAAAAACCAAAACAAAGAAGAAATGTCATCATATCTGAAGCAAGACAGAAAGAATCGAAGAAAGTCTGCAGAAACTAGTGTCAACCACACTAAGTTTATCAGTTTAGATGAGAGTAATTACCCTAAAACGGCACCCGATGATCAAATCAAAAGCTTCGGTGTTACATTGCCCGTTCATTCAAATCGCACTAATTTTCAGCACAACAACTTGCTTGTCCCATGGATATTGAAACATGGAGACTCTAAAAACGTTGAAAAAGCCCCTACTTTTCTCAGATTTTATCATGTGTTTGAAGAGGATGAACTAGTGCAGCTATGCATTAGCATAGAAAATTGTTCTGTAGAAAGGAGTTTTTATGATCAAGGAAATTGGTGTGTCATCTTAGTGAAGAGCTAGTATTGATGAGGACAGTGTAGTGGATCTTTACCATAAAACCTCATCAGGGAAAGTTGCAAAATGTTGCCTCTCTCAGTTCTAGCTTGGAATGAGCTCTCAGGTGGGGGTGTAAAAAGTTTTAAAACGCTGACAGCTTCTTTAAATCTAGCACTTCTACCTCGTAGCATAATTCTCAGAAGAATAGAGTGAGTGAAAAAAAAGCTTCTAGAAGAAAATACGTTTGAAGCTGTCACTATTGTAACAGGAAGACCACCTTTCATCAGAAAAAAATCCATTAATATTTTCAAAAAGTGAGACAAGGTCATGAAATTAAGTACCATTCTAAATGATGCTCTCAGGTGAAACAAGTGCCACCATCACAATGAGTGTCCACTTAGTCTTTCTATCAAAAAATCATTAAATAAACGCATTATTGAAAACACAAAACTTGTTAACTTAAGTATTTTCCTCACTCCATATCCTCACCTTTCAAAGCAATCTTACCAAATCCCAAAAAGAACCCTAGAAAATCAAGGTATTTGATATCAACTAATTTTCATTATTATTTCATGATTCAGTTTGGTTGAATATGCTTGTTAGTTTATCTGGCAGTAGTGTATGTACTATCGCCGAATTTAGTTTCGCGCAGAGTCTCCGGTGACTATTTTGCGACAGCGCGGCGCGTTGCCTGATAACACTGTCATGAAGACGCTCTCGTTCCTCTGTAAGTGTCGCATAGTTTACGTTCGATTTGAGGCGGCCTATGTGCGAAACTAAATTCGGTGATAGTACCTGTTTTCATTTCTTGTTCTTGATCTCCTTTTGTACTTGGATGTCTAGACTATGTGCATTGCAAGCTTTGGGAAGCTCATCTTCAGGTCTTTGTAAGCTTTTTGACGGATTACTCCGCACGTCTCATCATGAAAAATAAAAAAAATTTATAAAGAGAAAAACTTTCAAATGGAAGCGTAATAACGGGTAATCTATTTTAAAGGTTTTCGGTTTTGCTCGTTTTATACCTACACTTTTTTCGTTTCTTTCTATCGAAGTAATCCGTTAAAAAGCTTTTAAAGACCTGTAGAGAAATTCAAGATCGTATAAGGCGTCGCACCTGTGGTTTTGCTTTGCGATTGCGCAACTATCTTTTTCATTCAACACGAACCCAAGGAATGAAGAACAAGAATTCTTGCCCTGTACCTAAATATAACCAAATTTAAAAAAAAAATATGATTGAAAACTTCATACAGGGAGGATACTTAGGTGCCTTTACAAATAGCAAGATCGTATACAATCTTAGTAACTCCTGATGGACTTACCAGGTTTTAAATTTCTACTCTCTATATTTAATGACCTCTCGTTATTAAATCGCAGGGTAGAGATCACCGCTATCTCCCAAGTAATCGGTAGGCAAAAACCAAAGCTCGGTCTGCTGAGGCAAGCTGAGATCTGAAAGAGAATGAATTACATGGATCTAAACTCTTAAGTGACAGTATTTTGCATTTTTATTCGGTGATTCGAGAAATTCTCCTCAATGTGTGCTTTTTCTCTTTCCTTTTTCCTCAGTCTTAACATGATGATCGTGTATTCATTATATTTCCCGCCATTTAAATGAAGAGGCTAACACCAATCAGCGAGCCCGACGCTCTCAACTTGACTTCTATTGGCTAATGACTATGATGACGTAGTTTCGATACAACCGGCCACCACCTGCTCCCACCACTCCTGCCGTCTGCCGCTTTGTTTACATTTATATGAGTTGAGGTTGAGGGGTTGAGTCGTTGAATATTGATATTAAAATTTAAAATCGCAATCGCAGAATGTAGCGTGAAGTTTTACGACCACGAGTTTACATGAATTATAAACAAGATCTGATTCCTTTAAGTTACAGAGTTTTTAATAAATTAATTCCGAGTTTGATACTGATACGGTTCTGCAGTGTTATTATAGTGATAATCAGCATCTAAGGAGTTCAGCTCCGTTATCACACCTACCGCACCAACTACCTATCACTTTCTCTTAATTTTCATCGTAATTAGAGGAGAATTTCGTCGCCGCAAACATTTTTCGGAACGCTCTTGTCAGTTAAATTTAACAGGCTAAAATGAACCTACAAAAGTGTTGTGAAGATCTTCAACATGAGAAATTGGAACTTCAGCAGAAGCGCACGATGCTGAATAAGCTCCTGCAAGAAATTCGCAAACTCAACCAACATTTAAGAGCCGAAAAACAGGAGGTTTCCCGTCTGGATAAAGACGAATACATTCTGCCTGATCATATTAGGGGCCCTGAAGGGTCTCAGCCCCCTGCTAGCTCTCAACGTCGCAAAGAAACTCCTGCAGCAAGACTGGATCCATCAGTTCTGGATGATCCAGAGCATATCAATACAATCACACTTAATCTCACCCAGAAGCCACTTGACAACACGTTCAAAGGTGAAGAAGAGGAGTTTGATGATACCGATGAAGAACTTTGCTTTTGAGTGAGTATTCAACCTATCACTTTCTCACGATACTTTTACTTATAAGGGAAACTTCCCTGGCTGCCACCTTCAATCAGGCTAAAAAAATTTCTACTTTCGAACTCTTTGGATGAATCCATTAGGACTGTGTTTTTTTATTTTTCCAATGCGCTGTGGAAACACCCCCAAAATATTCTGAAAAGTGGTTTTTGAGCGCGTGTAGACAGTGCAGGCCGGACACCCTGTGTGCGCTGGGCGAGGCGAAGGAGCGTTACTTTGCCTTGCCCAGCCCTCCTGACGCGCATTGTTTATCCGCACTCAAAGCGGAATTTTTTAGGGGTGTTTCCAGGGCACATTGGAAAAAAAAACACGGTCCTAATGGATTCATACAAAAAGTTTGGACGAATTTTTTCAGCCTGTTAGGAGGCGGCAGCTTGGGAAGTTCCCCTTGTTAGCTTAAAAACTGTTACTCAATCATAGCAACACCTGACAGCACTCACCAGGTTTTGAATTTCTGCTCTTCATATGTAAAAAGAAAAGTCACACTGCCGTCAGGTTCCACTTGAAAATTTCAGTTCGCATGGTTTAATGAAAAGATTCTTGGGTTTTGACGATATCTATTTTTTCCATTATATTGCCAGAAGCTATAATTCACAACTCGGAAGAAGAATAGGGTAACTCATTTGTCAAGCTTATTTCCACCCCACCTTAGGAGAGCCCGATCAGGTAAAGGGTGCAGTGCGGCTCCTGAAGGTAGAGCTTTTGGTGAATTTTTTAAAGTATTATGGCCATAAGTAAACCCTAAGTGATGGGAGGGGGAGAAACTGGGAAAAGAAAGATAGCGAGAGAATGTGAAGTAAAACACTTAACAACGTTGATGCAGCTCCATCTGATACAGCTGCAGCCACCCCAACCCTGATTTACAGCGCTTCCAGGTTCCCTCCCACCTCCTCCCTTTTTCCCCCCTAACTACTTCAGGGTTTGGTTCAAACAACGGTTCAACAAGCTCATTGACCTTCGCAGTTTTGAGCAACCAAGAATTCAGCATTTAAACAATGACATTGCGCATTCGCTGTAATTTTTGCCAAAAAAATACTGCATTCACAGTAATTTTTGCCAAAAAGGAGGGCGTTCACAGTAATTCTCTTAAAATTAAACCTAGTTGCATTAATTTTCTCAAAATTCAAAACTTTTTCAGTTCATTTCTCATCAATTTTACGCTTTCGCAGTAATTTTTTCAAAATATCAACACTTTAACAGCACCTAATTTTCTTCAAAATTTAACATACAGGTAGTAATTTCTCAAAAATTCAACGCTTTTGCATTACTTCGTTTTGTAAAAATCAGTGCTTTGCCCTAATTTTTATGAAGTATCAATGCATCCTTACTTACCATAAAAATCTCGTAAAAATCAGTTTGTTAAGTGATCATTTTGTAGAATAAAACCGATTTTTCTATAAGTGTAACCGAACGTCCAGTTCATGCAAACATACTTATTTTTTTCAGTTCTTTTAACTTCATATTCGGTTATTTGTACAAACCGAACGTTCGGTTACGCGAACTGAAAGTTGACTTTGACGAATCGAATAGTTGGGATGAAATAAAACACCACGCTCTCCTTCATAATGTGGATATGCAATTTTAACTTCTTGAAAATGATAGTATTTTTATCACTTGTTTCGTCCCATCTAACTTTTCTACTCATACATCACAGTCTCTGTGTCAGCCATAAAGAGTTCACGTTTTCCTTCATTTCGTGGATATGCAATTCCTTCTTCGAAGTCGAAATATATGCATCACACGTTTCGCCCCATGCCTCTTTTCTTCTCTTTCATTAAAATCTCTGAGTCGGCAGGAAAGAAACCAAGCTCTTTTTCATTGTTGTGGATGACGCGAGAATGTTTTGTCATTTCATACTTGGACATCTTTATGGTAAAAAGAACTATGCGCGCAGGGTTTGCGTGCAATATTTTTCCTTTCAGTATTAATATGTCCGATTGTAATCGGATCCGTGAAGACATGTATCTTCCCAAAGAAAATTTCCGGAACTTTGAACGATCGCGGAAAGCGCCTGCAAGACCGTAGGGATACTTCAAGCATCGCGCCGTCTCCACGAGCCCAACCTCTAGCCTCGCTCTCGCCTCCAAATTATGATAATATTAAAAAATTTAAATGGGGTCCATGAAAAAATGAAGAGGCCTCGAGAATAAAAACTGTAATAATGAAATTAACCAACGGACCCCGAAGGTCGCATAAGAAGGAGGTAGAGGCCGGGGCCCTTTTTGTCCTCATTTCATGAAAAAATTCTGCGGTAAGTATGCGGGGTGCCAGGCCTCTGCGGACTCTTACACAGCTTACGTTTTAACATTGGCGGGGCGTGTATCTAAGGAAGGGAAGGTCCAACCACTCCCCGAAGCTTTCTTCGATTTTTCATCAACTTTTCTTTTTTACTTCTTCCCGAGCAATTATTGACGTTGTTGGTATTGAGTGCTGAAAAAAATGTATGTGCTTCGTAGAACCACTATGTAGGTATACTATTCTTCATTACTCTAAGCTCTCTGAATCTTTCAATGTTCATTCTCTGTCACAGTTCCCTATGTTTCCATAATTTTTGCGGCTATCGACCGGTGATGGTCTCAGATGAGCCCGCTCCTTTCAGATTTTGGAAGGTATGACCCAGGGTTTTTTTTTTTTTTTTTTTTTTTTTTTTTTTTCGCTTTTAATTAAGTTGTGAATACTCCCAGGTGGACGATGCAATTGTTAATTTTTTTATCACAGTTTTCTCTAAAGATCCATCAGGCCAATTATTATGATTTTTGCAGCCAACGATAGAAGATAGTCCCTAAATAAGCCCGCTTTACATATTAATTCACGGGGACCCGCGAAGACGTCCTTCAGGGCTTCAAGAAGTGCCGTTTGACCTATTCTCACTTTCTGTCTAGAGATTGCTAGAGTGAGATTGCCTCACTCCCCGAAATTTGTCTAAGTGATGATTTTTTTTCTTCTCTCTTTTTTACTCCTCACGTGGGTGTACTTAGTTGATCACGTTTCACGCAATCCACTCATGTATTTCCATTCTCCTCGAGGAGATCCTTCCCTGGAATGAGGAACTTTTTCCTCAAGAGACTCGAAGTCGGAAAAGTCAAAAAGATGGACAAATCGTTGAAATATCATGGAACGCTTATATTGTAATATTGCAATATTGAGCGCCGTTTCTCGTCTCGGACAAGAATTTCCTCTTATTAAGGAAATTGTTCATCGGAAGCTTCACACTTTTGCTTGGCGATTTTCTTCTGCATTATGGCGGGAAAAACTCNGGGGGGGGGGGGGGGGTAGTAGCTGTGTGGACTGCTTAAGGCGTCTCCGAAAAAGTCGAAAAGATGTATGAATCGTGGGAATTTGTCCGGAAATATTTGTTGGTGGTCATTTCATTTGAACTGTTTACGAATGAGGCAATCCGTGGATGGCGTGATCGGGGCTAGAGTTTGGAGCCGTGGAGTGTGCTCTGATGACAAGGAAAAACCTGGGTCCTCCGAGGGTTGGGCCGGCTACCCGTAAGTCCTGTGGTCCGGTAGTATTGGTCCATGCCCACGGGTGTGTGCTCCCCTGGAAGAAATCCTGATTCCTAGCCTGGAGCGGCAACCTGCCTCTCTCCTCATTGCTCCCGCTCGGTCATGAATCCCGCGCCGCGCGTGACTCATCCGGGTCCCGGGGCGCCTGCGCTGCATGAGCTCATGAGTAGATGAGTCTTTGGTCCTTTGAGAATCCCCCTCTCGGGAGCCTTGCAGCGCCTTTGTCCTTATCATCCAGTTCCCAGTCCATCTATCCACGTTGGTGCTTCCTTGTAAAAACAACCCATCTCCTCCTGTGACGAGGCGCGAGGTTTCTCGTTTTTCCTCGCGCTCCATGCGCCATCTGCTCATGAGTCGAGCGATGCGCGTGAGCCGTTCGTTGTCTCGGCTCGCTGCACGCTGCACGGAGCACAGTTTGTTGTTCAGTCCCGCGCGCGTCGCAACTTTCTTGTCCGTCGCCGTTTTTTCCATCTGCCAACTTTTCTCATTTTTCTGCTGTCCGTTTTAATGACTCATTTTCTACGTCCATGTCTCGCCGAGTGCGCCTCGGGCAGCCAACAAAGACATCCACCCAATCGGAATTTCGATCCGTGAATTGATCCATCCTCGCGCTCTGCTTTGTTTAGTTGGAGCTTGAGTTTTTCCAATCGCAGCCACGCTTTATCCAGTTTTGCGAGTGTCTCTTTATCGCTTTCCAGTCATGTTAACCAAAGTGTAAACTGGGTGCCATTTCTCTGAGATTTTAAAATTACCAAGTCGGAGGTATGACATTTTCAAAAACTACATTAAAGTGTTCGAGTTAAGTGAAGACTAATTTTCACGCACGGGATTTTAAAATTACTACACTAATGCATGAAATTTTCCAATATGTAACTGAATCGTCAAAGTTGATTCTTATTCACGTAAAAAGACGAGGAGAAAATGACATTATAATAGTAAAATAAACTCCGCATGCACCACCTTAATGGTAAATTATAAAGATAGAGCACATTTTCTTTGTCTCAGGAGATTTGCTCGATCTATTCATTTCTATTGAAGCTAGTCTTTTTAAAATTCAAATTTGTAAAACTTTTTCTTCCCGATTTTTCTAAGAAAATCGTCAAAAAAAAAGAAAAATCGGTAAGAAAAAGTTTTACAAAATTTGATAAAGTATGACCGATAAAGTTAACAAAAGAAGTGATATCTTTTTGAAATTGTCTTATATTAGGTCTTTGAGGTGTACTCTCTTTTGTTTTTCGTCGAGGTATTTTTTTAAATGAGCCATGTCCACGTGAATAAAATGTATTTCAAACGTACCGAAATTTGCAAATGTCTATAAATAAGTTGTGTATAATAAGTTGGTAACCAAATAAGCAATAACCCAAAGCGACCTCGGAAAAAGGGACACAGGGCCAACAAAAAAAAACCCTCAGAATGACGCAGCAGTGTAACCATTGCCTTGAGAAGTGA